CCGCACCTAATGCGAAGCACCGAACAGCTATTGCGAAGAACCAATGAGCATAGTTCGAACCAGCTCCGATACCAAATTGCAAGGAAAATGAACAGAAGCGAGATGACAATATTACGATTGCACAAGCACATTGAAAGCCAAATCGTAACACACTGTTCAGGAAGCAGCATTGCACCAATATAACACCAATGGACGTTCGTAGCACTGAAAGTCAATGTCAATGAGAGCTTGCTCTCGCCACCACCAACATATGTACCTAGTCTCTATCTCCCTACTTGGCGCTCGGCGCCCAGCCTACTCCCTACACAACTACTACTAGCTTACTAATTGACAATGCAACTGTTGACGTTAGTAGCACCCGAAGTACTTGAAGATGTCGCCCATGCAGAATCATTGCCAATACCAGGTATGTGCCCTCACATCATCATCATCATCATCATCATCCTTCTCTCTCTCCCTTGACTCTCTCCCACGTCTCCCTTTGTTGTACACCCGAAGACCACCCCTGCGCCTCACTGTACATCAAAGCCCTGCCAGCTATGGAGGCTGGGCTATGGGGTTGCCCTCAGCAGCGCCCTGCTCCCTGCACGACCGCACGTGCCTGCACCTCGCTGCTCAGCTCTAGCAGAAGCCCACGAGCTTCAGCTCCAGCAGCACTGCCGCGAGCATGCGAGTGCCCGAATGGCTGGCCAGGCAGCGAGCTCTTTCGTATATGGAAAGAGCCTGCCTCATTCGGCAGCCTGGTTAGACTGGCCTGGGCCCAGAAGCTTCCGGTAGGCCGCAGGATGTTGCGCCTCTAGTGCAGCTACTGGGCCTCATTCGGTTGGGCCTCCCAACTGTCTGTGTATGAGGCTGCGAATCTCGCCCAGGGCCTGTGCTTTCGGAAAGACCTAGAAGGCCTGGGAATTTCCACGCTGCTCGGCCTGTGTTTCCCTTCAACCAACTGGCGCGACGAAACTGCCTGGACCCCAAATGCGAAATTGACAGCCAAGGGCCTCTCGTGATTTGTTTGGCCCGCCTTCACTTAGGGTGGGCACATATGCTGCAGGGGACCCCTTAGGCCTGCCGAGGACCCATATCCTCGCAATTCTAACGTATTTTCAAAATTTTCGAAAGAGTGAATGAAAAGTAGTTTCGAATTTCAAAGGAATGTCGAAAAAGAATTAATTAATTCTACGTAAAAAAAAAAAAAAAAAAAAAAAAAAAAGTCAAAAAAGAATTTATTTAATTTTAAAAGATTTTCGAATTACAAAAATTTCGATAATTAATTAATTAAAATTATTTTTGAATTATGAAGGAGAAATGCCAAGAAAGAATGATTAATCCTGCGTATTTTTGAAAATTTCAAAAAAGAAAATATTTTTGAAGAAGAAATGTCGAGAGAGAGAGTTAATTAAGTATTTTCGAATTTACGTGAATTTCAAGTGATGCAAGGAACATGAGCAATAGCGAACGTGAGCAATCAAACAACATCATACACATAAGACCAGATAGTCGCGACCTCGAACCAAAAGCAGAATTGCATCACGAGTTTAACCAAATAAGAGCGCACACCAAAAGCTCATAATTGACAATGCTGGAATAGTCTCGTCATCATCATCAACAAAGAACCAATGTTGATATCCTATCTGGCGCTCGGCGCCCAGACTACAGATGGCAGATCCTATCTAGCCTACTCTACAATGCCGCTGATGACGTCAACAGCTCCCCGAAGTACGAGCAGATCTCGGCCAATTCCGTACGCTTCAAACACCAGGTATGTGTTACATGCCCGGTTGGGCAATGTACATACAAACCGAGGATCCGCAATGTGATGAAAAGGACTGAGTGGACAATGTTGTGCAAGTGGAATCTCAACTAGCAATGTGCATTCCGATACATATAGAATGGTGCTGAATAGCGCAGGGAAGACTTAGATACAAAGCCTGACCTGACCGGGACTGACCTCATTCACGTATAAGAGATAGCGAAGCAGAATGCTAGAATGCTAATGACTAGCCCAATCAATGTTTGAACACAGACCAAACATACATCGTGTCCATCACAAAGTGTGAAGGAGCCTGGCGCTGTACACAAGAAGAAAGCGCCAGGTCCAGACATACACAGACGAAGAGGAGGGGATCAGACGAAGAGGATGGGAATGTCGTCAACACCAAGTCTTTGTCACAAGTCCCAAATAATCCCTCGTTGCCATGTCTGAAGCCAAAATTCGAGTGTGGATCCAATGTCACCAAGCTCTCTCTCTCTTCTCTCGTAGTCTGCTGATGCAGTGAAGTCAGATGATGAGAGGGTGAGAGGGAGATGGTGGACTGAGAAGAGGAAGAAGAAGAACTCTCTCTCTCTGTTACGAGCTAGGTACTAACCTATGAAGTTGGCGCTGTGTTGCAGGTACCTCGAAGACGAAGCTGGAGCAACGGCGCTGCAGGTAGGTACCCAAGGCCTCCGCCCAATCTCTCTCTCTCTAGTGCTATCCTAGCTATGGCGCCCAGCGCTGGACACTAGCGGTTAATGGAAGGCCAAAAATTCGGGGTTTTTCTCCGCGTCGCTACAAGCAATGTTGTTCGCTAAGTTTTTTTTTACTGCTTCAAATACGGCAAAACTGAATACAGATATACCCTAAAGCACATATATAACAGAGAAAAAGAAAAACTGAGAAAAGAGTGAAAATTCAGGGAAATATGACAGTTTTGGTGAATCATTCGCCAAAATTTGCCGAATTTTGGGCCTTCCATTAACCGCCTCTCGCGCTGGAGACTATAGCTACCTACTGCGCCCAGCGCTGAAGACTAAGGCTAACACTACTACTACTCTTGCAGCGCTCCCTCCAGAGTGCTGCTGCCAAATCCTGAAGACTACTGACTGCCTCCTGCCTACCCGTGAAGTGCATGGGAAATCCCTATGTACTACCTTGGCCTGCCTCCTGACTGCCTGAAGGGCGAGCCAGGCCGAGGAGGCTGCTCTTGCCAATGTCGAAGTGTGCCAGGGGCTGGCGCTGCAACATCTGTTGAGGCTGGCGTGGGAACAGGCTAAGAATAGCTTGTTCCCGAAACCCTGGTTCGGTGCCTGAGTTTCAGGGCCGGTCGTTCTGATGAACGACCGAAAATGGCCCTTCGTTTCAGGCGAAAAAGGCTATTGCCATTTTTAGTCTGAAACGACACAGGGACCGTAGGCCCCTGTTTTCAGGCTTTCGGGCTGAACAGTCACGGGGCCTGTAGGCCCTGGTTTTCAGGCTTTCAGCCTGGAGGACGCAGGGCCTGGAAAATGGCCCTCGTGTGCAGGCGCAGCATGTAACACCCCCCCCTCCTTATGAAGTCAAGCTAGGGCGAGGGCGGAGCTGACGATCTGAAGGTGGAACCTGGACGCGAGCGCGACGTGGAGCCGAAGAGACCAGCTTGCCTTGCATCTTGCGTTCGTAGCGTGCGAGAACGTCCGGAGCTGTTGTCCGCACGGGTCAACCAACGGTGAGCTCGGTGTGTGCAGTATGCAAAATGCACCAAATACTCGGTTGGCCTGTTGCCGTAGCGTCGCTGGGAGATAATGTCGTCGACCTCCTGAAAACCGTCCATGGAGGGTGGGTCTTGCGAACGTCTCCCGGGAAAATCGTCATGTTCCGCTGGCGTGTAAAGAGCCAACTTGGAGCAATGAAAAACTGGGTAGACGGGCAAGTGGGCGGGCACCTGGATCGTGAAGGAAGGTCCCTCGGGTGCATCTCCAGCGGGTGCTACGATTGGCCAAGGCCCCATCCATTTCGGCAGGAGCTTGCGAGAGATGTCTTTTTCAAGGCTGAATTCCGGTGCGAAAACCCAAACGAGGTCGCCGGCGCGGAATGGGCAAGGAAGACGTAGGCGATTGGCCTGCTGGCTCATGCGCTGGTGCGTCTTAGCCATCTGGTCGCGTGCCTTGACAAGAAGCTCTTGCGTCCGACGCAAGAAAAGAAAATGGTTGTCGATCTCGACCGTTCGTGGAGTGATAGTGTCGAATGGTGAAGTGACCGGTGAGCCGTGCTCGAACTCGAAAGGCGATATCCCGATAGCCGGGTGGATGGAAGAGTTGTAGGCCAACTCGACATCCGGCAGCCACTCAACCCAGTCCTTCTGGTCAGGACAGATGAGAGTGCGAAGGAGAACCTATGGGGTCTGGTGCGCTCTCTCCATTTGGCCATCGGTCTGAGGCTGGCGAGCTGAACTGGGGTTGAGAGATGAGCCCCATCGCTTGATGAGCGCCAACCAAAAAGCGGACATGAACCGAGTGTCGTGGTCGCAGACGATCTCCTTGGGGTAACCCTTGGTTCCAATCCAACCGGCGTAAAGAACCTCGACCAACTTTGGTGCCTTGGCATGATAGCGGCAAGGCAAAAACATGGCAAACTTGGTGAGTCGGTCGACCACCGTGAGAATCCCATCCACGCCGGTCTTGTGCTTGGGGAACGCGCCGGTGATGTCCATGGCAATCGCTTCCCTTCGCCTCAACGGGACCGGTAATGGTCGTAACTCGCCGTACGGACGATGGTTGCGGGATTTGCAGCGTCGGCAAACCTCGCATGACTCGCAATAGCGTGTGACGTCGCTGATAAGGCCGGGCCACCAAAATCGCTCGCGAAGTCTGCCAATCGTGCGATTGACTCGAAAGTGTCCGGTGGCGGGAGCATCATGGAACTCGCCAAGAAGCCATGTACGCAAGTGAGGATCACTCGGTACGCAAAGAAGGTCCTTCCCCCGTGTGTGGACAAGCAAGTACCCCTCTTGGATCCGGTAGTGAGAAGGCGCGGGATTAGGAGAGGAGCAATTCGCGTACTTGTCGCTAAACTCGGGGTCGGCTTGGTAGCCGCGGATGAAGCTGTTCCGCAGGTCATCGTTGATCTCGAAGGTTGAGTAGACCGCAATACAATGATCCGGACGCCGTGAAAGAGCATCCTCAAAACGGTTCGACTTCCTCGGAATGTGATCGGGAAAGAAGTCAAACTGGTCAATGAAAGTCATCCATCGAGCGATGGTTCTATTGACGGTGTCTTGGGTCTTATAGAAGACCAACGGATTGTTGTCCGTTACCCATCGAAATTGAACGAAATTGGCTTCAACCAGGGAGGAAGTGTCGCCACCGCTTGAGCGCGTGGACGAAGGCGAGGAGCTCCTTCTTGCGTGCATTGTCAATGGAATGCACGACAGGCACTTTCTTGCTGAAATACTCGACCGTGTGCCAGTCCACACCATCATGTTGCTCGAGGACTGCACCAATGCCATAGCCTGACGCATCCGTAGTGACACGCGTAGGCAAAAACGGGTCGTATATCCGCAAGACCTCCGCAGATAATAGCGCGGCTTTGAGAGCCAAAAATGATTCCCGCACCTCCTCTCCAAAGTCAAACGGCCGATCCTCGCATTGAAGCTTCGTCAAGTGGGCCGCGATCTTCGAGTAGCCTTTGATGAAATGCTGATAGTAGCCGACGAAACCAAGGAACGAGCGGACATCCGTGACCTTCCAAGGCTCCGGCCACTCTTGGATGGCTTGAATCTTGTCCGATAGCGGACTGATGCCCTCCGGTGTGACAAAATGGCCCAAGTATTCCAGCTCTTGCCGAACAAATTCGCACTTGTCGCGGTTGGCCTTGTACTTGGCGCGGCGGAGCGTCTCAAACAATCGCCGAAGATGATCCTCCAATGTCCGGCTATAGACGAGAATATCGTCTAAGTAGACCAGCACGAACCGGTCCAACATTGCACAAAACTCGTTGGTCATTGCCGCTTGAAAGGTCGTCGGGGCGTTGGTGAGGCCAAAAGGCATGACCACCCAGTCAAAATGCCCGTACCGCATCTTGAACGCGGATTTGTAGCGATCATTCGGCCGGATCGAGATTTGATGATATCCTGATTGCAAATCCAACTTAGAAAAATACTTTGCGCTGCCCAATCGCTCAAAAAGATCGTCGATGCGAGGAAGAGGCCCCGCATTCTTGACGGTTTGTGCGTTGAGCTTGCGGTAGTCGATACACAATCGCAGATCCTTGTTCTTCTTCCGGACAAAAAGAACTGGTGCTCCATATGGGGAGCTACTAGGGCGGATCCAGCCCTTGGCCAACAAATCATCGAGTTGTGCGCGGAGGACCTCAAGCTCCTCCTCGCTCATCCGATAGATGCAACCTTTCGGCGGCACGGCACCGGCCTCAAGAATGAACTCGTGAGAGATCGGCCGATCCGGCACCCCACCGGTAGGTGACTCGAAGATGTCAGCGAACTCGTCCAGCAACCGCACCACACGGGGGTCCGAAGACAAGTCTGTGGGTGACGAGTCGGCTACCGCGGCGGTCCGTAGGAAACATAGGCCGATTTCCTCGGGCTGCTTGTAAGTGCAAGTCACCCGGAATGATTTGGCCGTCACCACTTGGCACCAAATCGAAGGGTGCGGTAGAGGAATAGTACACGCCACTTCGGCGCCGAAGGCGTCACGAACGCTAAGAGTCCACCGGTGGAAGTTGACTGTGTGATCCACACTTGCAAGCCAAGGCATTCCCAGAATGATGTCGAAGTCCATGTCAAGAATGTCGAACGTTGTAGGGCGAAACCACGGTAGACTTTCGATCCTTAGTCGACCCCACTGCGGGTCACATCCGGCTCGGCCCGCCCACGCTCATGCTCGGGGCGCGGGCCGTTCGTCCCGAGGTCACCGCCACCTAGTGCTTTGAGATGGATGGGGCGGGCCATAGAGCTTTGACATTGGGGATGTAGCTCAACCCTCACGCCGGGTGGTAGTCTCGCTGGTCGTTCTGCAACGCTGATTTTTTTAATTCTTTGTTGTGTTCTCATGCAATTGCTTCTTCCAATGCGCAGGCAGTCCAAGGATTCTTTGAGTGCTTCTCTTCTCTTGTGCGTAGGCTAAGCGTCATCCTTAGGCCACGCACCATTTCCCTAAGCATYATGGCTATATGGCGTCATCGGGGYGCGGCRGAGCCGTCCTCTCCCTCRCCTCTAYGCATCCATCRGGTCTCACAATTTKCTTTCTTCCTTATTGAAGTAGGCCCCTTAGTCTTTTCGGGGTCCTCATATGCATGCACACACAACATCACATTTTCCTTGGTACGATTGCACTCTCATTTACACCCCAAGTCTTCAAGCGCAAAAGTCATTTCCATGGGTTGGCTCTATGTCAAGGGTCCCATGGCCCCTTTGTCCGTCTTCCCTTTCCCTCTTAGTGCCCAGTTCCCCTCGCCCCTATCCCGCTCAAGGCATTTCTAGCCATCACTCACCTGCACAATCCCACACAAGCAAGAAGATCCATACAATCCCCCGTTGGGGGTCAACACATAGCCCTTCCCACATGCCTATCTTTTCAAATTCTTTGGCTGCTCTTTATTCCCTCTTGTTGCTCAATCAGCCCATTTTCTTCTTATAGTCATGCAGTCGGGGAATGGTTGAGTCAAACTGACCTCACTTTCAACTTATGTTCTCTTCCGGATTCTGCCTTTCTCCCACTTTTTCAAACGTCCCTTCTCTTTTGCCTCCTTGGTGGCACAAGGGACCGGCTATCCTCCCCTTGCCCTCTTTCTCCACCAAGTGAAGTCTGATTTTGTTTTACCGTCCGTACCCTGGCAATGTTTCCAAGTGAGGGGAGAAGGGGTTAGTCATATGACAAGTGAGGGGACTGGAGAGAGGGAGAGAGAAGGCGAGGTGATAAAAGAGGGGGTGAAAGAGGGGTCTAGAGGGGGAAGGAGGAAAAGGGGGAGAGGGAGAAGGAGAGAGAGAGGGGGAGATAAGGAGAGAGAGAGGAAGAGAG